ATATATATATATATATATATATATATATATCATGTTGAGCGGCTGGATAGCGTAGTGGTTAGAACACCGCCTTTGATGCAGGAGACCGGGGTTCAAATCCTGGCTGGTACCTACCTTACAGGTAGGGGTCCTTGGGCAAAGACCCCCTAACGCTTCACCTGCCTACCTCAAAAATATGAGAGTGACATGAACGAAGAGAATCATGCCGGCTCGGACATCGCCCGGATTAACAAGGTCCGCGTCAGATGTTGGGGAACTCTTCCCTTTGCATATTACATTTCATATGGGGAATTTGTGCATCACTACTGCATTCTCCTTGATTTGCTTTTGTCTAATTTGGAAAATAACTGCTGCATATCAACAATCTTCATCCGTGTAATATCTGTTCTTGCTGAACTCATATAGGTTTAAGGAATAGTTTCTGGGGAAGATTTTTCAAATTACCTATCTTTCATGGCATATTAGAGAACTAAGATTCCACAAAGGTATCAGTATAGCTTTCAAATAAATAGAAATCTATGGTAGAAACTGATAGGATAGATAGTAAGCAGACCTGTGCTTTGTTGTGTTATTTAAAACACAACATCAGAACCATAACATGAAAAAGGCAGAATGCCTTAATATTTTCCCTTAAGTAAATGTGTTGTGAAAGTTTTAATTGTATGAATTATTGTTGTAAACTGACAGGAATCCCTGGCAAATTCAACAGTATATAGATGGAATAAACAAATACAGGCATATAGAGAAATCCTAGTTTGCCTATTAGCTACATCTTTAAAATGAATGTTTTGGCTCTGCCTACAACAGTTCTTAAAATTCTGTCATTTTCTGCCATGACCCCAGTCAAAGGACTTTGATGTCCATGAAACCTAGCGCAGATAAAGGTAAAGAAAAATTACTATACCTATTCAGTAAGTGTCATATACTGGTTTTTTCTGGTTGTCAGCATTTTCCTCTCCATTCTTCCTCCCCTGGTACATTCTGCACATGAATTCTTTTTGAGCCCTGGTCAAAAAATGCCATCACTGCCCTTAACACAAAGAAAGAACTTCACTGAATAAAAAAGAGCATTAGGAAAGAAGAGCCATGGTCAGATCTTGTTTCTCCTCTCCTGAGCCACTCATGAGACCCAAATTTGCATCCTCCCTAGGTGTTGATGCGAGCTTTGAATTAAGTCAATTACTTAAATTTAAATCACTTTTAAAATATTTCAATCATTATTTAAACACATTTAAATCCGATTAAAGGACTACTTTCTGAAGAGATGTTCAGTGAATAAATACATGTGTGATATCAGATCATGAAAAATGAGATCTACTAACTCATCAGATAATAAATAGAATCATCACTCTGTAGTCTCCAAATGTCTAATCCAAATTTGCATTCAAATGTCTTGTTTGAACCTGAAGTTATTCTAGCTAAGGATGTTATTTTTATTGTACTAAGAATGACTGAAATAGTAACATGTATGTCCCTTACAAGTACCACTCTTGTATTCTTTGTTCTGTTTCTTAAAATGATTGAAAATAAGTCTTCCTTATTTCAGAGCATAAAAGTGCAAATAATCACTTTGACAGTTTAATCTCAAACAATGAACGTTCTGATTTTCTTTATATTTAGCCGATATTAATACTATAGCTTCAGTAGTAGAGAATTGTAGTTCGTTTCAGTTCTTTATTAAGGTCACTGATTAATAGAAGAGATCAACAGAAGAGATACAAAGAACAGAAAAAAATGCAATAGCTTGTATAGTAAAAACAAAAGTATCAAAACACTAGCAATAGACAGCAAGCCCACTGACATTCATAATTTATGGTGCAGAATTCAATAAATTAAGTAAATAAATAAAAACGGCCAGCTAAGACAATGAAGGAGAAATTAATCATCTGTTAATTACCAATTCTAGAAGTTAACATGAACATTCTAACTACATTAACATTATTTTTTTGAATCTTGAGCAGACAAAAGATAACAGACATAGAATTCATCGAGTTGCCCAGGAAACAGTTTAATAATGCCTCTTAGTTGCTTTGCTGATTTGGTAATAGCAAAGAAGAATACATTTTCAGATTTTGAAATAAGCTACGAGAATGAACCCATTTAGGAAACTTCAGAATGCCATGTAAAACAAATGCATATCCAGTACTGACGAAGGATATTTCATCTCTGAAACACCAATGCACTGTTAGTGCTCACTTCCAACTGCTTCTTTCCTTTCCTTGTATTTACTATAGTTAACATTCACCAGCTTTAAGTAGTATTGGAAAAGCAATTTCAAATGCTGGCTTGAAAGGTGGGCCCAAAACTGAATCCATGTAGCATTAATCATTTTAAAAACCATCATCATCATGATGACTTAATGTTGCAGCGTTGCCAATATTGATGAGGCTATAGAAATAATCTGTAGAAGAAAGCAAACAATGTTTGCGGGAGATCCAATCCTTGAGTCAGATTAGTTTAAAAAAAAAAAACAGACTCTACCCTAGTATTTAGATCGATACAGCATTCATTCCATGGCTGCACTAAAGAAGGAACTACAAAATGATTCTGCAAAAATCTTCATTAATTTGGTTTGGGGGTTTAGCTTCCCCACAACTTGGGCTGCTAAGTTAAGCCCTATGGGAGCTGAAATCCATACAGCACATGTGTATGGAATTTTTGTCTTGTTTTCATTGTGTTTGGTAGATTTATCAGATCTGTTGCAGATGTGGGTATTTGAGCTTTAAACAAATGCATCTGTTTAGAAGAAACAAATGACAACATAAAAGCTGTGTTGAAGCTAAACCAAAAAACAGTATTAAACAACATATCCACACACCTTAACTCCCTCCCATGCTCCATAGTAATCAAGGTTCACAGTTTACTATGTCACTTAACCTAAATGACAACTATTTGTGGTTTATGCAACCCAACAGTTATTTCAGGTTTGGAAGATGAGCAAACATCAAAATGCAGCACTCATTAATTAGCCATGCCTTTTGGCTTAACATGTTCTGCAATCCCAGCCAATCCCATAGATACAGTATCTATTCCGACAAAAGACCCACAGAGTTCAGTGTGGCTTAATCTTGGATATTTGAGTATAAACAAGAAATCACAAACCAGTTTCTGTGAGTTAATTGCATGGAAGTTATGATTTGTGATCCTGAGAAGGTACACCCTGTTCAATAAGGTAGCATGTCTACAATCATAGTCTTGCTACAAAACAAATATTTATTCAAGACCACCTATCGTGCTGTGTTATTATATCCTATTCTTTAATCATACAACAATAGGAGAGAAGGAGGTCATATGATGGAAACTATTCTACATAAAAATGGGTGTGTGAATAGATCTCTTAAGGCAAGGTAGATGTAATTACAGCAATTTTTAGACCACTTCTACTGTTGTTAGATTATCATCTCTCTCGAAGGGCAAAAAAACCCCTAGTTTATTATATCATTATTACTCAGTATATACAAAACTATTGTAAGTCACCATCGAGATTCTGGATATAACCAGAGGTTGACATAGAGATAGTCCTTGCTTAGCAATCACAATTGGGACCAGCAACTCTATCGCTAAGTGCTGTGGTCATGGAAAATCACATGACCTCAACAGGCTTATGACCTCACTTCCCCTTCAGTGGTTAAGAGAAACATCACATGACTGCCACTTACAATTTTACTTCTGCCTTCTCTATTAACTCTGCTTGTCACAAGCCAGTTGCAAAGCACACAAATGGTGATCACATGACCATAGGATGCTGTAACAGTTGTAAATGTGTGCTGGTTGCAAAGCACCCAAATGGCAAGCATGTGACTTTGGGATGCTGCAATGGTTGTAAATGTGAGGATTGGTTGCAAGGCTATTTTTTTACACCATTGTAACATTGAATGGTCACTAAATAAGGCAGTTGGTAAGTGAGGACTATATGTATATGATTATTTGCTAAAGAGCAGATAAATGTGCTCTTGTTTTACATCAATATAGATGAGATCTCATCTCATCTTTCAGATTTAACTAGAAAAGTAGGAACAGATTTCACTTTATTTTATAATGTTTGTAACAAGTTACCTGCTTGAAGTTCCTGAGGAAGTTCCACAACTATGGTGTATAATATGTGATATTTTTCTTGTAATGCGTAGCATGTTTTACTCTTGGTAAACTGCATGTTTTTACTGCAATAACCTGGACATTGACTTTCTCTCAGAGTAATTTGCCCTGTATATAATTGGGATCCAATCTAGCCAAGTCTTTGACTTCAGTTATAACTAATATTCTACAGTGGACTGGGCAGGTTCTTTAAAAAATACCATGGAAATAGAGCACTAGTTCTATTTTCTGTTTTAAAGAAAACAATATTTCAAGAACCTTAAATAAGGGACTTGAAATTTTTGTGGACTCCACTGAGTGCTGTATATTCCACATTAAGAAAGTCAATGTAGAATTTCCAAGTCATTTTAAATGGACACCGTTTTTCAAAGCTTTTTGTAGCTTGCTTTCATTCTTGAACTGATTATAAATGAACTCCTATTGTTTCGTTTGCTAGACTGACAGCAATACAGTGTAACCCATCGCAAACTTTATTCTACCCGAAATAATCGTTGTACCATAAATTCCAGGTGACACAGCAGGCACTTGTGGGGATCCAGGAATCCCAGGTCATGGTTCTAGAGAAGAAACTAATTTTAGAACTAAAAGTGTTGTACAGTTCTCTTGTGAGCTTGGTTACATCCTTCATGGATCAGAGGAAAGAGCTTGTTTGGCAAATGGAAGCTGGACAGGAAGGCAACCAGAATGCAAAGGTAAATTATTTTCATAACTAGAATGCAATATTAGTTTGAAAAATCACTGTAAGAGTCTTTATAAAACAAAGAACTATAATAAAGTGATCATATATCTGAAATCAATTAGCTGCTTGTATTAGCCCTTTGAATTGATATGACATCATCATGGCCCTAATACAGCCATGTATGGCTTTGACCTAAAATTGTATGCTGGGGATATCAGATCCCAAGATTCTTCCAGCAGCTTCAGTCATGTTAGATAATAAGAATGAGAAGACTGAATCCCAGCGACTGGCAAATTTGTCAAGCTGCATTTCATTTAGAGTTTGTCTCTCTATCTCTCTATCTCTCCACCAACTTACCTGTCCCCTATCCTACTCATGGGCATTCAGGAGGAAGACAAGGGTGTCAAGAGATAAAAGGTGTATCATGGCATACATCTCTTAAGTATTTGCATGTAATTTCATGATGCAATTTCAAAAGGGTGGGGCTTGTGTAGTGATGTCATGCTGCACGTTTTGTCATTTGGGCTCCCTGATGGTTAAGTAGGGACTCCGGCTTACTTATGCTCTTTCTCACACCCTTTTCAGGTGTTACTCCATGGCTGCATAGCATATAGTTTTGATTAACTGACAGCATTGCCAGCAGTTGTAGTCATGCATTTTCCATGGAACTTATCTGAAGTGGAGTTTATCCTGAAGTAAATTAAAAAATCCCACCCTGCGTTTTGAATATGATCACAGCCTCCTGATTTCTGCATTAATAAAAGAGAATAATGTAAAGATAATTCTACAGCATAATTCATCAATCATCACTTATTGGCTTCTTGGAATCAATCCCATTTTTATTTTTATGTTTTTGCCATCAGCATTATTGAATCAGCTCTAAATGTTGCTATATGGTCTCCCAAACTGCTACACAGTAGGTACAGAGTATATGTTCTAGGATCAATAGAAGAAGTATAGGAACGGGAGAAGTGGCCTTCTAATAAATCAAATTATTTGTTTACCTAATATAGAATTGTCTGTCCTGACTAGTAGGGACTTTCCTGGGTTATATGCAAATATGTTTCTCATACATATGCTAGGAATTGAACTTGATAATGTCTATATGCAAATTATATTCTCTGTCCTAGATGTAGGACCCCATCCGGGATTACAGTTGTCAGGAACACTAAGGGTTTTTTGTCACAATCACAATAAAATGAATTCCTCCAGTCCATGACACAACGCCAAGTATGCTAATATAAATTTTGCTGCTTCAGCTCTGCCATAGTGAAGAGGCTGGCATTTGGCATTGTCCTTACAGTTTCAGGGCAGGACAATGAATGTCATTCTATTCTGTCAATTTTTTTCAGTATTTTTTTACCAACCAGGAGGGGGGAAAAATAAAAACCTCTCATTGGCAGACTTTGAAATTATATTTCCTCAGTATACATACATTTGATTGCTGTATAATTTATGCAAAACTATTGATTTGTTTGTTTGTTTTTTTTGTTTTTACACACATTTCTGTAATGCAGTACACTTTTTTATTTAGGCATGGCTAGCACACGCATACTTCTCTCCGTAAGTATCCTTCCCAGAACGATGCTGTTTTTATCTGTAATTTTTTTTCACAACTTTTCCAGGAGACTCCCTCTGATGCTGTTGTCAGTGCCTCGGTTGGCCTCTTAAAATCAGCATATTTTATGCAAAATGAAATTCATGTGAGATTGACATCGATAGCATCTGGCATCATTGTATTCACTGTGGGAATATCATTTGTTCCAAAGAATTTGAATAGTAATTAGTATTTGACAGGACACAAGCATCTGAGTACAACAAAACAACTTGGTTCTAGCATTTTTTCGTAACATTTGAGCACCACCGGCAGAAATAATCATGTATCTTAAGGGTGTGTAGGATATAATACAGATTTGCTTCTTTATTTTTAATACATTTATGTGTTAAATAGCTGTCTTCTGCTGGCAAAAATTGGCTAGTTATAAATACATTTAGTGATAAGAATTTTCATTTTTCAGAAATTAATTGTTTTGGATTACATTCCGATTCCAATTCAATTTTATATTAACCTAAGCTTGGGTGTCCATAACAAGCTACAGTGACTTCAAAATGACAAGTGCAACATGACATCAGCACACAAATGACACAATTATTTATTTGTACCATGATACCTGAGACCGGTGTAAATCATGTCATCCACACACATACGTCCACACACACCATGGACATCCATAAATTGAATTCTCTTTCCACTCTGTTACTTTTTATCATCCAAAATGGCCTGAAAATACTGAATTACAACATAGAAAATAAATAAATAAATAAATAAATAAATAAATAAGCAAACAAATTAATAAGATTTATGAGTTTGATACCGGACTACTCAACTTGGAATTTTTCAAGCTGGCTACAATCCCTAAAATAAAATAATTTTAGGAACCAAGCCATAGATAAGAGAGTGAGATCATGCAGGCTGTTGTTACAGACTTGTTTTCTAAATGTTTACGAAAGCTGAATTGTATGAGTGGGTTTGTTAAAGTAAAAAGGACTATTTGTATAAACAAACAAACAAACAAAAAGGATTTGAAATAGGTAGCCATTAGTACTATAGTGTACAATAATAATTTACGGGGCTTTGTTGTGCCCAGTAGCTGTAATACTGAATAATTCATTTACTCTTCAGAGTAGTCATTTTTCCCCTCAGAAGCAATGAATGAGCAAGGGAAAAAACTGTAAACAGTTGGTACAAAAATTAAGCCGATAAAAATCAAACTGTTCGTCCTTTTCAACAGTAGATAAAAACTGAGAACTTTTTCATGAAAAACCACAAATTCTGAGCTATAGTTCAGTATTTCGGTTCAAGCTATGTAGAAATGTATATAGAGGAATATCCATGGTATCTTGAAAACTGCAACTAAAACAAAATTAGAGGCTCCACTTCAGTTGAATACATGAAGATTCCAGAGGAAACTCAAAGCATTTGGACAAGACTGGTGCAATTGAAACTGAAAGGATTTTTATCTCCTTGATGTGAACTATATATATATATATATTTATAAAGTCTACTTCTCTGTAGATTGGAAGGTTATTTGCAACTTCAATTATTGAAGTTACTAAGTAATTGTTCTCTGTGTTGTTTTCCTTCCCAATTCTGGCATTTTCACACTGGATTTTCAAGCTGTTCAGTGTGGTAACCCTGGAACAACAGCTAATGGGAAAGTGTTTCGAATTGATGGCACAACGTTCTCTAGTTCTGTTATTTATTCCTGCATGGAAGGCTATATTCTGTCTGGACCTTCTGTACGACAGTGCACTGCCAATGGGACATGGTCTGGTTCCCTGCCAAATTGTACAAGCAAGTATTCATTGTTGCTAATATTACTGCAATCATAGTACACTTGCAACTTCTATATTTGGGGAAATTCTATATTTGGGGACAGTCAAATTGGGGAGAGGGGGCAGGATTGTGCCAGAATCATCCCTGCTACAGATCAACTTTTTCTTCCAGGATCAGGTTTCCAGAGCTTGACTGTTCAAAATTGTCCTGTGCCAACCAATGATGTTGTCATAGCTTCTCTGCACAGAGAAGAAAGACAGCTTGGAGGTCTGATGCATCCATCAGACTCCTCTTGTGTAGCCCATCACGCATCTCCAGTATTCCCTGTCCTTGGTCCCTACTTTCCTCTGTTCTTATCCCTACCCAGATCTACTCTCATTATAACCACAAATATTGCTGCTCATGCTCCAAGAAACATTTGGATTCTTTCATTTGAATCCCATTCTTGAAGGGAATGGGATTCCTCCCTATCATTAGCCTGCAAGTGTTAATAATGCTGCTGAGGCTCAGAGTATTAGGAGTCAATGTAATGGCTACCCTGAGTGACTAATGATGGCAGCAATGGTGGGTGAGGGATTTATGGTGGCAGATATAAGTATCATGCAGTCACTAAAGGTCAACACTGCCTTGAGGGAACATAATAAGTATCATGGCAAACATGGAAAGAATACTGCTTCCCCCCCTTACAGTAATTACGTAGCATTTTTGATGGGTGGGTGGAACTATTTACGTATGGAATGACAGGAGCTCTACCTCAATGTAGATATGCCTAAGCAACTCTTGACCCCACTGCCTCATACCACATGTGGGCATATGGGCTGAAAAATATACCCACCCCTGGGTCTACCAGATTCAGATTTCCTGGAACCACTGGCTCCCCCTTTCTTAATGAGTTATTTTCTGGGATGGAAGATTAAATACTTGTGTCCTTACACTTATGTCAAATGGTAAGTAGAGGTCTCCTGAAGCTGTTCAAGCAATCCCTGAGGTGGAATATCTCTCAAACAACTTACCCAACATTCTGGTCTTTGCTAAATAGAATTTTCTTCTCTTTGCAATTCAGCATATAGCAGGTGGGATGCTGAAAGAACAAAAGAAGGCCCTGTTTTATCGTCCCACCATTTTGACACACAAGATGGTGGGTAGGTAAGAGAGGACCTTATTTTGTAGCAGCAACTTGACAACTGTGAATCAGTGTCCAAAATTCTGCCATTTATATTATAAGACTACCTTGTCTTAATTCAAGCCTCACAAAGTTAGAAAATTGGAAACGAAGGCTGATGTCTTAATTATCTAACAAATAAGTTCTGTAATTAGTAACAAATGTCACATAATGTGATAAACTGTGCTTGCTTATAAGCAAACTACTATACACGTCACATTTCAAATTATTCTAGATTGTTCACATTCTAAAATGGAGACAACCTTCATCGTATTATTAAATGGGTAAATGATTTGACTATTAATAGTATAATCAGTTATTGTTTTGTCTACTGCTCTTTAATCCCTTTTTTCTCATAGTAATCAGTTGTGGAGATCCAGGAATACCAGCCAATGGATTGAGATATGGTGATAATTATGTTGTTGGACAAAATGTTACCTATATGTGCCAACCAGGGTACACAATGGAAGCCAACAGTTCCAAAATTCGTACTTGCACAACTAATGGCACATGGAGTGGAATGCTACCAACTTGTAAAGGTATCGCTTTAAATTTGAAATATATACAGTATATCAAATATAATCACTATCATGATCTGCTGAATCCCCTTCCCTTTTTTTTTTTTAGTGGAACATGTTCCTATATATATGTATACAGAGAGAGAGAGAGAGAGAGAGAAAGAGAGTGAGTGAGTGAGTGAGTGAGTGAGTGAGTGAGTAAGTAATGGTACTGGAGAATGACCTTGGGAGAGAGGAGAAGAACCACAGCCAGGAGAACAGTTGGATAAGCGGAATCTTAGCCCACAGCAGGAATGTGGGTG